TGTAAGAAACTTGAATAGGTGTTGACGCGACCTTAAACAAAAACCCTTTGTTAAGAATACATTTAATGTTAGTATAGATTTCGTGAGCTTCTTTATTCGCTATCAACATCATCTACGATAGCGATCAATTGTCCCGCCTAATTTAAGGTTTGAGGAAGTTTTGGATCATAACATTTTCAGCACTCATTTTATGAACAAGGAACACGATATCAAAGTTATCTTGAAAGAGGTATAAGATGATATATATGTGAAACGTCAAGTGCATGTTATGAATATCATGAACGCGGTTGCTGAAATGCTCCCAAGTGTTTTTTTTTCTTAGAGAAGCTCCTGTTACATATTATGTTGAACAAATTTATAATTTTGATATATCATCTAATATTACTCATATTAAGAAATAAATGAATTCGTAACTCACTCTTTATATCCTATTGTTACACTCAAACTTTTTGTGTGTTATGAATGATATAAAATTTCTTTGGCTGAAAATGTAAGGCATATTTAAAAGATGAACTACTTGTGCAAGGTTCCTTTTTTGAAAATATAGAATATTAATCTATGAAAGCATAATATAATCTAATCTTAGGTATGGAATATAGTCTATTGAAAAACAATCACATTACAGAAACAGACTTCGAGTAAAAAAAAATCAAACAGTATATATACTGATACATTTAATTGTATAAAAAATGATTTTCAATTTTCAGAACATGTTTATAAGTACAACGATTTTAATTTGATTGAAACAAACGTTAATGTAGGGAGAAAAAAATAGTTTAGTAATAAATCATTAATTGATTAAGATCATTATGTATTTAACAGTTTAAAATAAGTTGATATCTGAAACATAATAAAGCGGAACAATCGAATTGAGATAGGCATCTCGTTATCTGCTTATCCAATAGACAAGCAAAAATTATAAGCCAACTATTGTAAGACAGACCTTTTGCATTGATATGTTATGATCAATAAGTATGAAAATGTTTTCGCGTTTTCACTTCAAATACTTCTGTTAGTTTTTACATCAACCACTTAGGCATTTCTTATAAAATTATTTTTTAAACATTTCAACAAAGCATTTGTGTAGTTGTTTCCGAATTTTTAAAGTTTCATTATCTACATACTGTTACATATTTTGTTAGGATTGATATGTGATATGATAAAAAGTTCTTCAGAACCTTTATTGCACTCTGTGCAGTATAACTGGTTCTATAAAACATTCTTTATTTTCTTAGTTTCTCGTAAGTATGATCATCTGATGTGTTGACAGGCTCTGTAACACCGATGTACATCTCATTTGTTTGTGTATTCGGTGTTCCAGAAATCTCTGATAAAGAACCTTCAAAAATAAGAAAGCTTTATATCAAAGATAACGCTTTTGAAACTGAGTGCAACAATGATGTATTATTATGTTACCGGTGCTATCTATCCATTTAAAGTATCATACTGATTTGAATAAATAATTCTTATGTATGGAAAATAAAGAGATGGCGATACCAAACAAAGCAATCATTGACGTTTGCAAAGCTGCCCTTGTTAAAGCATCGTTTAACCTTTCCCGAACGCCGACTTTAACAGAAATAAAAGAATTGGAATCTATGATCCACAAAGAAGTTATAATGTTTTACTTACAAGTAAACTTGTAAGAACTACCAAACCTATGTTTAATGGTATTATAGAATGTTCTACTGTAAAACATATTGTCAAATATGAGGGGTCAGATTTTCTTAGCATGGGGTATCTATTTTTAAATTATATACGAAAGGTTATAAAAGCTAATTTAAAAGAGTATTTTATTACATTCAGTGCTAGTGTGAAATATTGGTCAGTAAAAGAAATGTAAATAATTTATTGTTAACAGGATAATAAATATAAATTAAATAGCTATTAAGAAAAAATACCTTGCATGTTCGCTCTTTTCTTGCGTTTTGTTTGCCTAAAAAAGGCAGAAACATGTTGTTTGTTATGGTACTAATATATAATGGTCAATGTAAAATATATGATAATATTATTATGGAACAAAACAATACTAGATTCCATATAATAACCTCAATAATAAATTATTATAAAGCTTGAAGAAATTCAGCAAAATCTTGAAAATAAAAAAAGTTAATGAGCAAAAACATGATTGTGCTTTTGATGTCAAAATGCAATATTTCAATATTATGTAGTATACCAAAAACATGTTTAAAGTATAAAACAATGTAAATTTATTTGTAGAATGTTTATGGCCTTCATTTTATATTTCAATATAATTTACCTGAATCTATTTCTGATGAAAATGAATGTTCCAACACCTATTACAACAGCAACCAAACTAGTGACCACAGAGATGATAACTGTTATGTAACCTATTCCTTGTGCCGAATCCTCACTGGCTGTCAATTTATTACCAACATTGTCTGAGATATTAAGAAACACAAATTTATGAATATAAATATTTTATTTAGGTAAGTTTTAACCAAGATCATGAATATTTTCAAATATTATATTATACAAATAATACATGTAATAGATAGACAATATGCTCATTAAACGTAAAATGTGAAATATTTAAATAAAACTTATGCAATTGCAACAATAATAATGAAAGTTGATTGAGTTCATATATTGTGATTTTATAATATACTTACCAACTGCACCCGGGCAACTAAAGGAGCATGCTCCAGAAGAAATGCTGCAACATAGACATCCATGTCTGCACATATTCTGACAAAGTGTTCCCCATCGCCCAAGTCGACAAACACTGCATAGTCCATTGTCCATATAGCATTGAAGGCATGTATCTGACTTACATTTAAAGTCGCAACTAGAGCCCCAAAAGCCAGGATTACAACTTGTACACAATCCATCTGCTATTGAGCATGCATCACAATTTGATTAATTGCACCTGTTTGAGCAATCTGTACCCCAGTATCCAGCTTTACATGCACATTCGCCTGTCTGTTTGTTACAGTTCCAGGAGCACTTTTTCTTGCAAACATTTTCACAATAGCTTCCCCATTTTCCAATTAGACAACTTCTGCATTCCCCCGAATCTTTGTTGCATGCATTTGACGAACAACTCCCGACACATTTATTTTCACATGATATACCCCAGTAACCATTTTTACAAATCGAACAGGCACCATTGCTTGTATAACAACTCTGACAATTTTTACTGCATGTTTTATTGCAATGGATTCCCCAATATCCATTATTACACGAGTCGCAATATCCAGTAAATCTAGAGCATTTATTAGAGCAAGCATCACTACAAGTTTTATTACAAAATGTACCCCAGCGTCCAGATGTACAATAATCACAATGTCCAGAGTTTATATCGCATCTCCTGCACGGGAAATTGCAAGTATTATTGCAATAAGGACCCCAAAAGTTGCCTTTACAAGAAAAGCAATATCCATGCTTTCCACGACACAAATAACAAGTTGAAACGCAAGTCTCATTGCAAAATTCACCCCCATAATCCCGATTCACAATTTTGACACTTCCTATTATTTCTATCACAACTGGTACAGTGAACAATGCAATACATATTGCACAGGGTACCCCACATTCTGGATCTACAAGAATTACATTTTCCATCAAGTTTATCGCAGCCTCCTCTGTTGCAATAAACACTGCAGATGTTGTTACAATAATCATTCCAAAATCCTGTCCGACATCGGTTGCAGGCACCACTGAACCGGTCACATGAATTATCACAATTTGTCTCACATTGTTTCTCACAGTTATCTCCCGAAAAGCCAATTTCACAAGTTCCAACTGCGCATTCGCCTAAAATGAATTAATATAACACAATAGGTACAATTTGAGTAGACAGCTGTCATTATTTATATATTCTTATTTCAAACGTTTTTTTTTTAAATTATGCTCCCAAAAGTCGCTTTAAAATATGATTTTTAGGCTGCTGTAAAATAATATTTGACATATCAGAATGATGTCAAATTTTCATACAAGTTTTCACTAATTTACATACAGTCATTTATAGTGTATGTACTAAAACAAAATGACATCTTTTCCATTTTACTGTAAGTTTTCTGCAATGTAATATGATCGATAAACACCATTTTGCACAGTCATGATTAAAAATCAAAATTTAATTACTACTCACAGCGTAATGATATCACCAACAATTATAACATTATATAGTGGACGTGCGTCTTCATCGTCAATATGTGGATGACTTTTAACAAACCGTGTTACAACCATGCACTTTCGTCACTTTATTTTCCGCTTTGGACATTTACTTTAAATTGAAATTTGTTTTAACATCTATATCTAACTTCCTTGTTATTCAATCTAAAATAATAGCAGTAAGATAAATAAACAAACTAAAATAACAATATCGGTCATTGTTAGTATGTTAGTTGCTATGTAATTTATCATTGAAATCTGCCATCACAACCCTTATACCAGTTTTTTTATCTTACTGTGGCAGAAATCCCATATTAGAGAAGGTTCAGCTAATTTATTTTTCCACATCCTTTAAATAGTTCATTTTTTTACGAAAATGGTAAGCTGACAATTATGAAATAAATTAAATATCAGTACAGGCTACTTGAACCCATTTTTAACAAGTCGTGTCAAATACCAAATTGTTCTTGTACAGACGCATGTCAGAAATGCAGTTTTAGCATTTTGAATAGGCAAAAGCAGAATATAGTGTCTAAACAATCGGAAGATTACAACTTTAAATTTTTTTCCTACATTTTTCAAAGTTTTCGTTCAGTTCACAAATACAAAAAAAAGTTTTATTATGACCTTGTGTTCATTAGAAATGTGCCATGGAATGATAGTTTTATTGAATTTTTAAAAGGTTTTCACACAAAGCACAAAAAGGGTTTCAAAATACCGGTACCAGGAGACCATCTATCAGACAAACACTTTTCTATTAATTATTTGTTGTAATTAGATTATTTTATTTACAGCATTTCTTATATTTCTATATATATAGAACATTGGAATGAGGCCTTTCAATGACAAAAAAGGATCAATTATCAATTTTTACTTTCCATACTATTATACATATAATTGAACTAAAAACAATTTTAGTTTAGTTTAAACATATTTTATTGTATATATATATACATACATACATAAATCTTTACAATTATACATAAATACATTAATGTAAATATACAAAAGGGTTGGGCCAAAAGTTATATCAACATTATCGGGGGCCCTCCCCTAAAATACTGACTGCAATGTTATTTAAAAATAGATGTGAAAAAGACATATGTAAAGTATGATTAATTAAGTTGAAATCTAAGAAAATATAATTAGAAAAAAAAATATTTTTTTGTAATTAAATATATTTTCTGATATGTGAAAAAAAAAATTTAACAGTATATTGTAACATTCCTTCGGTGCGATTTTTCCTAGAAGTACTTAGGTTGGTTGCCCTACTTTAAATATACAACTGGTTGCATATATCAAAAAATATTTAAAGTTTATAAATTACAAAAAAGAATAATAAGTTGCCGAATTCATTTGTTTTGCATAATTTTATTCAATATATTTCAGAAATTAAGTTAAATCATCTACTGTTATATGTAACAAAATTAATTTTTTTCATTGTAAAAAATAAACAAACAAAAAAAACAATTCTCAAAATACTTTTTTTTTAAATTACCTTTCTCGGAATAATTTCTATATGAAGACATATGTTTAAAGCTTCTCCTTTTGCAAATGGACAAATTAACTGATTTCAAACAACCTTTAACGTAAGCAAAGATTAAGGACTGATTTTATTTTCAAATGAAATTGTTTTCCAGTGACAGTCACCTTTGTATGGAAAGGTTTCAAAAAAGCTGATATCGTCACACATTAAAACATGTCTTGCATACAAAGACTATATTGCTTTTATTTATTTATTTTTTGTCGTCATTAAATTGATTATTAAAACGTATTTAAAGTTGTAAATATTGTGTTACTGATTTATACAACCACCTTGTACTAGTATATCCAGTCACGCTGGAATGTGAAAATAACGCACGATTCGTGTAAAAAGCAACGCTGAATTGCGCAAAAAATGGCGGTCACCTTACAGGATTTACAAGGTGTATGTCATTTATTGCACAATTCTGGGTTTCTTTTTGCACGAATCATGCGTTATTTTCACATTCCGGCGCTATAGGATATGCACGGTGGATGTGTAGTTCAGTAATTATACTCTATTTACAATGTGAATAGTTAGAGTCATTAACCGACAAAACTTTAAGTACATGTACAAATGTTTAAAGAATTAATTTAATGAGAAATATAAATTTCATTCGGTTATAAAAATGTCTTTGTAAATCAGGTATTCTATAGAGATGCTTGTATGATATTCAAAACATCTTAAGGTAAATTATTTACATTTAATCTTACTGGTAAATCCAACTTTTACTTAATCACCTAAACCGTATTTCATATTTCAACTTCTGTTATATTTATTAAATCAATTGGTATGGTCTGTGTTTGTGATTTAAGATTTCCGCAGAGTCCGTATACATAGCTTATAGGGCATGCATGATTATATACAGTAGAAGTTTACGAAACTTGAACATAATGAAATAAACGTCTTGTTTGACAAAATGTAGATGTAGATGAACATATATTATATTAGGGATTGATTTAGAAGCAGCCCAGATGCATTATTAAATTAAAATAATGCAAAATGAAATGCATTTAATACTCCTTTTATACTGTTATATTTTAATAACTCAATAAGAAGTGACTAACACTCTTCGTGATTTTGTCACCAGAATAAAACAGTGTTTAACTGCTAAAAACATCGGTAATTTTTACTCTCGATAAGGTAGTGTACAAAGTCCTTTTAGGACAACAATTACAATGCAATTTATTTGTATTTTCCGTTTTCATTACGTTTTTTTTCATATAAATAAAATAACATCTCACACACACTAACACCATAGGTTTAATCCAGATTAGTTGATTATTGTTGGTTTAAGGTAATTGTTCTTAATTACTTTTCAATTTATATTTCATTATCTTGTTAATAATTTGCATTACATTTTTCTATTTGGTATTTCATTTAATTACTAAATGTAATAAGTCACACTTCAGCTTTATCACCGATAAATTTATTTCTTAATAATAGATGATACATCAAAACTTTTATCTGTTTATCATGATTTGTTATCAATGTTAGAAAAAACACATGAAGTATTTTAGCAACTGCAATTAATGATATCTATAAGATGCATGCACTTGACGTTTCACAAGCGTATCATTTAATGCCCAATTGACGATGACATGGGTAACTGGGTATAGTTTATGAATAGACATATGCTTGTTCGTAAAATGCGTGTTGAAAAATTCTATTACGACCGAAAACTTCCCCATACCATAAATTAGGCAGGAAGATTAATCGCTGTCGTATATGATGTAAATAGTGAATAAGGAAGATGATGGTTCAATACTCATGAAATCTATACCAACATTTAATAAATGTTTAATGACGTATGTACATTTATAATCTGTTATCATTTATGCATGGATAACAAAGTCTAATGTAAATAATGTGAAAGCATTTCATAAGGGAATCGTAAGAATTGTATCAACATAAATTCTTGCAATAATAAAATATTACACTTAAACTTATGATGTACTTTATTTGTACCTGAATTTATTATTTTCAATACCAAAACGTAAAATTCAAATGTAAATCTGTAGTTGTTGATACAGAAGAGTAAAAATAAAGAATATAAATAAATCTGTTAGGTCTGCTATTCTATTAACATCATATCATCTTCTTCGGTTGTGGTGATCAGTACATGATGCGTGTACCATATTTAAATACATAAAACTGCACGTTTGTAACGACGCTATTCATTGAATAATCGTGACGTTTATATTATACTTTATTTGGGGTTTGGAGTGATATATGTAGATATACAACATGCCAAGATTTTATATCACCCGAGACGTTAGACTCTGATGAGAATTTTTACTTTGTGGTTAAGATTCACCATGTCCATTACTCTATGTTGGTAAATAGACAGGTTTTCGGGCAGAGTAGTCACATCAGTATTGTCTAGTTACAAGGGACATCCGTCCGTCCGTCCGTCAGTCTGTCTTCTGAAATTGGATCCCGTGAAAATTCAAAAGTACTGAAAATACGTTTATGAAACTTGAAATATAAATTGATTGAAGTACGTATGTTGAAAATTCAAATTTAATATTTCTAGGCGAGGGTTTTTTGTAAAGTACATTTTATACACAGCCATATAACCTGTCAGGAAACTTTATAACGAATTTATAATAGAGCACCGTCATTTCTGAAGAAAAAAAGATATTTCTTCAAAAATTGACAGCAGCCGTGAATATAAAACTAAATAAACGACACGATTATCCAATGAAAAGCGACGTTACAAACATTCAGTATTATAAATTTTGATATATCATTAACTTAACACCACACCCGATGAGGATGAAATGATGTATAGTGAACAGTAGACCTAACGCATTTATTTTAATGTTTTATGTTTACTCTCCTGTATAGATAACCACATATCTACATTTACATTTAGCTATGATTAATTCCAGTACAAATAAAGTACTTCATAAGTTAAAGTATCATATCATATTTTCCAAATTTATGTTGATACATTTCTTACGACTTCCTTTTTAAACGGTAATTAATGCTTTCACATTACATACAGCAGACTTTTAAATGTAAATGCATAAGTAGTTACATAGTATATGTTAACAAAAACACTTTGTTAAAAATACATTAAATGTTAGTATAGATTTCGTTAGCTTCTTTATTATGTTGAACAAATTTATAGTTTTGATACACCATCTTATATTACTTATATTAAGAAAGAAATGAATTGGTGACACACTCTTTATCCTATTGTTACACTCAAATGTTTTATGTCATGAATGATATAAAATTTCTCTGCCTGAATATGTAAGGCATATTAAAAGCTACACTACTTGTAGAAGGTTCATTGTGTGAAAATATAAAATATTTATCCATGAAAGCATAATAGTATGTAATCTTAGGTATTGAATACAGGCTTTAAAAAATCAAATTTCAGAAAAAAACTTCGAGTAGAACAAAAATTCAAACAGTATATATACTGATACATTAAATTTTATAAAAAATGATACAATTTTCAGAACATGCTTATAAGTACAACGGTTTTAATTTGATTGAAACAAACATTAGGGGAAAAGATTGTTTTATTATTAAATAATTAATTGATTAAGATCAATATTATGATTTAAAATAAGTTTATAACTGAGACATTTACAACAGGACAATTAAATTAGGTTACGCATCTCGTTATCTGCTTATCGAATGAGGCGCAAACGCCGCAATCGTTGCGTAAGACTATTTGTGTCCCCGACAAGCGGAAAATATAAGCCAACTGTAACCGACCTTTCGTATTGATATGGTATAACCAGGCGGTATGGAAATGTAAAAACTTCAATTTTAATAATTACGTTATGGATATTTGATGTGAACATTTTACTTTAGCTTATCTGGTCGAAAGTTGCATGTCCCGACAAAATGGTCAAATTTTGCGCAATCTGTTATTTTCCGTCAACCACTAAGACATTTTAACAATATCTATCAAATAATCTTATAAAATTGCTTTTATAAATTTTAGCAAAGAACCTCTCTCGTGGTTTCTGAATTTTTAAAGTTTCATTATTTACATACAATCATCATGCATATATTGTTCATGAGATTGATATGTGACAAAATAAACAGTTCTTCTCAACTACAACTTTATGGGACACCCAGTGGAACTTTGTGCAGTAAAATTGTTTTTCCTAGATGAAAATACATCACATTCTTTATTTACTAATTTTCTCGTAAGTATGATCATCTGATGTGTCGACATGCTCTGCAACAGCGATGCACATCTCATTTCTTGTACTTTGAGATGTTTGTGTAGACGGTGTTTCAGACATTTCTGATGAAGAACCTGCAAAAGTAAGTAAGCAGTAAATCAAAATATAAAAGTTTTGAAACTAAACGCAACAATATTGTATACTTATAATACCGGTGCTATCTAGGCATTTAAACTATCATTCAATTTTGCCTGATTTGAATCAATATTTCTTATTTATGAAAAATAAAGTGATGGAGATATCAAGCAAAGCAATCATTGAAGTTTGCAAAGCTGCCCTTGTTAAGGCATCTTTTAACTTTTCAAGAACGCCCACTACAACAGAAATAAAAGAACATCTATGATCCACAAAGAAGCAATGGTTTACTTTCAAGTAAACTTGTAAGAACTACCAAACCTAAATATTTAATGGTATTATAGAATGCCCGACTGTAAAACCTATTGTCAAATATGAGAGGTCAGATTTTCTTTGCATGGGGTATCTATCCTTAAAAAGTATACTAAAGGACATAAAAGCTAAACAGAATTTTATAACCTTCAGTGCCAGTGTGTAATATAGGTCAGTAAAAATGATAAAAATTGTAAACAGGATAATAGAATATAAATGCAATAGCTATCAAGAAAAATACCTTGCATGTTCGCACTTTCCTTGTGTCTTGTTTGCCTGAAAAACAAAGACAGAAACATGCTGTATGTTATGGTCAATTTATAATATATGATTTGGGAAATAGATGTCAATTCTGAGTGCATTGTTGTAGAATAATGCACGGTTTGAGTTCAAATGCGTAGTAATATAATCACGAAGGCCGATAGGCCTGAGTGATTAATTACAAAGCATTTGAACGAAAAACGTGCATTATTGTATAATAATGCACGAAGAATTAATATCTATTTCCATTCTAACACGTCAAAAAAATATAATTATTATTATTATAAAGTTGGACTTTATGTTTGGTGGTTAATTTTTTTTTTCGACTCAAAGTTTCCAATAGAAACGTTCTTTAAAGGCTGTTCCAGCGGGTTGAAAAAAAACTGTCGTTAAATCTACCGTGTGTAGAAACATTTTGAGAATAACGAATTTTGAAAACGTTGATAAATCTTTGTTTGTTTATCTTATTTCACTCTATAATTTTTCAAGCGAAATACAATTTATTAAAAGTGAAATAAATGTAAAACTTAACTCGTTTGCGACATTAAAATAGCGTACTTGATTTGATTGTTTTGCACGTGCTGTTTGGCGCTACATTGTGACGTCACGTAAACAACACTTTAAACGTCTGTACAGCGTTAACGACTGAATTAAAGATAATAATAATAATAATATCTTTATTTAAAGAAGGTTACACATTAAGAACATACAATAACAATCATATATATCTTATTTCCAATGTGTCCTTCTGAAATTGATATTGGTGTTCGGATTCATTTTCTAGATAGTTTTCTCAATAAAATTCGACATAAAATTGTTTTTTATTTATCAGATTTTTCAACCAAAATGGCGCCCTGAATGTGAAAATACACAGGGAGATAATAAGAACGGCGAGTGCATTGTTGTAGAATAATGTTCGCTTCGGGCCTTCTTTGTTTATATAGAAAATTTCCGATAGTGTTAGAATTTCTTATTTTGAAGCAAAATAGTACTATATGCCATTATAAAAACATAAATTAATAATAAATTATTATTAAGCTTGCATTAAGACCTTCACAAACTAAGTTGATGAGCAGAAACCTGATCGTGCTTTCGATGTCAAAATACTATATTAAAGTATTTAGTAGTATCAAACCAAGTAATATATTTATAGAATATTACAGATTTTTATTTAACCTTTCAATATAATTCACCTGAATCTAGATCTGATGAAGATAAATGTTCCAACTCCTGTTACAAAAACTACCGAACTAGTAACCACAGAGATGATAACTGTTATGTAACCTATTCCTTGTGCCGGATCCTCCCTGACTGTCGATTTATTGTCAACATTGTCTGAGATATAATAAAACACAAATTTATGAATTTAGGGTAAGTTTTAACCAAGATCATGAATATTTTCATATAGATAATACATGTAATAAATAAACAATATGCACATGAATCGCAAAATGGGAACTATAAATAAAACTTATAAAAAAAGCAACAACAATAACGAAAATTAAATGAGTAAATATTTTGTGAGTTTAAGATATACTCACCAACTGCATCCGGACAACTAAATGAGCATGCTCCAGAAGAGATGCTGCAACATGGACATCCATGCCTGCACATGTTCTTGCAAAGTGATCCCCATCGTCCAAGTCGACAATCACTGCATAGTCCACTGTCGATATAGCATTGAAGGCATGTATCAGACTTACATTTAAAGTCGCAACTAGATCCCCAAAAGCCAGGCTTGCATTTTGTGCATGATCCATCTGCTTGTGAGCATACATCACAGTTTGAGTCATTGCACATGCTAGAGCAATCTGTACCCCAGTATCCAACTTTACATGCGCATTCTCCTGTGCGTATATCACAGCTCCAGGAGCATGATTTCTTGCACACATTTTCACAGTAGCTTCCCCACTTGCCCATCGGACAACTGGTACATTTCCCCGAATTTTTGTCGCACGCATTTGACGAACAACTCCCGATACATTTATTGTCACATAAATCACCCCAAAAACCATTGTTACAACTTGTACAGGTACCACTGGATATGTAGCAACCATAACATTTTTCACTGCATGTGTTATTGCAGAAGACTCCCCAATATCCATTATTACACTTGTCGCAATATCCAGTAAATCTATGGCATGTATTACGACAAGCATCATCACATGTGTTATTACAAAATGCACCCCAGCGTCCTGTTGTACAATAATTACAATGTCCAGTGTATGTATTGCATGTCGGACACGACAAATTGCAAGTATTATTGCATGAAGGACCCCAAAGATTGTTTTTACAATAATTGCAGTATCCGTTACTTTTTGCACAATAATAACAATTTACACCACAAGTCTTATTGCAAAATTCACCCCATAATCCTGATTGACAACTTTGACACGTCCCAGTATTTTTATCACAAGTCGAACAGTTAACAATGCAATTTTTATTGCACAGGGTACCCCAAAGTCCGCTTTTACAAGAGGTACATTTTCCATCAACTTTTTCGCAGTTACCGTTGCAATAAACACTGCAAGAATGGTTACAATAACTATCCCAGAATCTTGTCAGACAACGAGTGCAGACGCCATTTAATTTGTCACATGACCCTTCACAATTTGCCGCGCATTTTTTCTCGCAGTTATCTCCCCAAGAGCCAGTTTCACATGCTCTAACAGCGCAGTTGCCTAAAATGAATATCAACATCAAATTGTGTACATCATAAACAATAAAATGAGTAAAATGGGTACACGTGATACATATAACAACCACATGCGTATATCTATTTTTAATATATTTATGTAACTTAATACACGGTATGAGAATGTTTCATCCCTTTTAGTGAATATCTGTCTACTACTTATACATGTATGATTAAAATGTTTTTAAAAAATGTTATTTATGCTTCCACTACCCACATTCAGATGTGATTTGTGCCACTGCTTTGAAATTATATTTGACATATCAGTATGATATCAAATCGTCACTGCTACATTTCAGTACATAACGGTGAATTATGTTATAAAAAGATATTTTTATTTCTTTAAATTTAAAAATCATTTAGTAAATCATACTTTGAATATTAAAAAATTAATTACTACTCACAGCGTAATAATATCACCAAAAATAGGATTATATAGTGAACGTTAGTCTTCATCGTCGATATGTGGGTAACTTCCGATGTAGTTTCGACAACTTGTAATTGGTTTAAACATCTTTTCTAAACTACCTTGTTATTCAATCTGAAAAAGAGAGTAATAAGATACGTTGACAAACTAAAAATACAATATAGGTCGTTGTTTTTATGGTAGTTGCTGTGTAATTTAGTCTCAATCCCTATTCCACATAACTTTTCCGTGACCTTCCTGTTTGAAACATCCAATAGAAGTGGTCGTTAGGGCAGTGGTAACACACTACAACTAATGGGTACCTGGACCAATGTTTAACAAGCCATGTTGAATACAAACATGTTCTTAAACGTTTGTAGTAACAGACACGTGACAGACATGCAAACTTAGCATTTATTTTTAATGAAAAATATTTTTAATAGACAAGAGCAGAATAAATCCACACTTTCTAACTCGATCATCGACAACGAAGAGTACATACCAGATGAACCTATTCCAAGGATATATTCTGACAAAGTGTTTAACAATTATGGCATACAACTACTTGACTTATGTAAAGCTACTGGGCTACGCATTTGCAATGGGCGTTTAGACAAAAGTCCCTTCACATATTACGGACACAATGGTTGTTCAACAACTGATTATTTACTGTGTCGCCAGGCTAACTAAGAGCGAATTAGTACATTCGGCACAAGTGATTTAACCATGTTTTCAGATCATGCTATGTTACAGTTCAGCATCATCGCACTTATGTATAAGGAACCGGAAGTTGAAAACGAATATAGTCATTCTAGAATGAAATGGAGTTCTCAAAAACGGGATGCCTTCAGAAACAATATTATAATGTCACTTCCACATTTTAACGCATTATTTGAAAATAAGACCGCAAACGATAAAGCACATGTGAATGAAACTGTCACAGAATTTACACGTTTAATAAATAGTGCGTCGGCGCCGTTGTTTGAAACACGTTCATATCATAACAAGGTGAAACATAAATTTGCACAAAATCGGCATTTAAAATCATCGGAATGGTTGGATAATGAATGTGTGAATAAACGGAGGATATATTTAAAAGCACTAGAAGTTTTCAACTTAGATAAATGTAATTTAAATAGGAATCAGTTAATAACTTTTAAACGGGAATATAAGCGACTCGTAAATCGTAAGAAACTAGCTTATAAAAGCACGAAATCAAAGGAGATAGAAGGTTCGCGCAAGAAAAAGCCTCGATACTTTTGGAAGTACTTTTTTAAAAAACGAAGGCATGCGCGGAAATTTCTTGTCTACAAGTGATTTCTACCAGTATTTAAAAACTTGAGTAATGAAATTAATATCACAACTGAGGTTGAAAGCGAACGGTTTGCGTCGGAAGACATTAATTCGGATAATCCTATCTTCTCAGAACTAGATAATACTATATCAGAGACAAAAGTTTAAGCGGCTTTGAAAACTTTAAAACGTGGAAAGGCAGGCTCTTCTGATAACTTAATCAATGATTTGCTCATTGAATCTGGGGATATATTAATAGGGCATTTAACAGATCTTTTTAATCTTATATTCGATACCGGTTTTTTCCCGGATAAATGGTCGGAAGGTATAATCATTCCATTATTTAAAAAAGGAAACGAAAATGATGTGAACAATTATCGTGGAATAACATTGGTCAGTGTCCTAGCAAAGTTGTTTACATCTGTGTTTAATAAGCGTTTAACCGAATGGTGTGAAAAAAAAATTTATTTCCGACGCTCAGTTTTGATTCAAAAAAGGGTTTTCCACAGTCAATGCTATATTTTGTTAAAACGGATTAATAGAAACATTTCTTGGAAATGGCTTTCGTTTGTATGCTGCGTTCATTGATATGAGCAAATGTTTCGACAGCGTTTATAGGAACGCGTTATGGTACAACATGTTTAACCTTGGAATTTCTGGAAAAATGTTTCGTGTAGTGAGGTCGATGTATGAACACGTGAAAAGTCAAGTACGTCACTGTAATACGTTTTCTGAATTCATTGAAGTAGCGGTAGGCCTAAAGCAAGGAGAGATATGTTCGCCTCTGTTGTGGTCAATTTTCATCGAAGATTTAGAATTGTATTTAGGTTCAAATATTGATAGTAGTGTAAATATAGCAGACTTGACACTTATATTGCTTTTATACGATGGTGATATGATTTTACTGCCGGCAACAGTGCAGGGTTTGCAGTCACATTTAGACAATCTACGAATTTATTGTGATCGTTGGGGTTTAAAGGTTAATGAAGAGAAAACAAAAATAATGGTATTTAGACGTAGAGGTGCGTTGAGAGACGATGAGAAATGGGAGTATAACGGGAAAACGTTGGATATTGTAGATACATTTAATTATTTTGGAACTGTATTTGGTTCAAATTGTAATTTTAACTGTAATCAACAATTGTTAATTGGTAAAGCAATAAAAGCTATGAATTTGTTAAACTATCATATCCGTGAATTTGATTTTACTCTAAAAGTTCAATGTCAGCTGTTTGATTCATTTGTAACATCTATACTAAGTTATGCAGCAGAAGTGTGGGGTAATTCAAAAGCTAAAGAAATTGAACGAGCGCAGTTAAAGTTTTGTAAAAAACTTCTTAATGTTAAAATGTCAGTAAGTAATGTGTCTGTATATGGAGAGCTAGGGCGCTATCCGCTTTATATAAATCGTTTTGTTAAGATATTCAAGTTCTGGATTAAAGTTTTAAATTCCAATAATTGTATCATTAAAAACGTTTATAACGAGCTGTAAAATGATGCTATTCATGGTAAAAAGAACTGGGCATATAAGTTAAAAGTTTGATTAGAAAACTATGGATATGGATATCTTTGGGAAATACAGGACAGTATTATTGACAGTAAAAGTTTGATTCCGTGTTTTAAACAAAGAGTGATTGACTGTTTCCTTCAGGAATGGAGAAGTGATATTGATAGCAAACCTGTATTATTGGTATATAAACATGTTAAAGAGAATTTCGAATATGAACCTTATTTAGACTTTTCAACAAATCACAGAGACTTTTCATAACAAGAATGAGAACAATTGCGCACTGTTTACGTATAGAAACCGGGTGTTATGGAAATAATAGAATAGACAGGGAACATAGACTGTGTCAAATTTGTGAAAATGGCGAGATAGAGGACGAATATCACTTTATGCTTAAATGTGCGAGATACATAAGAAAAGATATATTAATGAATATTTTACACTTCGACCAAGTATGTCTCAGCTAATTGAACTGCTAAGATCTGCGAATCACAAGACAATAACAAATTTGGTGATGTTCATCAAATGTGCACTTAAAATTCGAGAAAATATGCTACGACAAAATGACTTATCATAAACTCTATATTTAAATTTATTGCTGACTGTTTAATGAGTTAATTAATTTGCTTGTCAAAACATACCTTCATTTACGTAAATAATATTTGTATTCATATTAATTTTATTATTTATTTGACATGACCTTTATATTCAATGTAATACATGTATAGATGATAAACTATGTTTAAATCTAAAATCTAATAAACGATATGTTCTGTTCTGTTCTATCACTAATTTGTACAGACCAATGACTGACAAAAAGAACTAACATTGTAGACACCTAATTAAAAATAAATGTTAAATCAGATAAATGGATGCATAGACTTTGATCTTTATTTAACAGTTTGTAATATTTGAATATTTACTTTTGATTTTAATTAAAGAGTTTGTAATATGTGTAAAGTCCTTATTATTCAATTATATTGTATTGTATGTAAAATTAAACTACAAGGTTTTTGTCACAAAAACATATGTCTCCCAAAACTATGTATGGTCACTCATGAGAAGTGTCATTAAAATCCCACCAGGAAGTAGCTTGACCTGTGAAGGCCAGCCGAGATTTTTCTATTTATAGCTCTGACGGCCTTTTTGTGCAGCGCAGCGGAACGTACCAGTATTCTGCACAACAAAGGATGGTACTGATCACTCCTGTAATGTTTCGATGAAATCCCAATAGTAGTTTTATCTGTCAAGGTCGGACAAGATTTTTCTATTTTAGCTCTGGCGGCCATTTTGTGCAGCAAAGCGGAACGTGTCGGTGATGTTTACAACTAGGGATTGTACTGATCACTCCTGTAAAGTTTGGTAAAATCAACCAGTAGTTTGACCTGTGAAGGCCGGACAAGATGTTTTTATTTTTAGCTCCGGCGGCCATTTTGTGCAGCAAAGCTAAACGTGCTGATGATGTGCAAAACTAGGGATGGTACTGATCACTTCTGTAAAGTTTGGTTGAAATCCTATCAGCAGTTTGACCTGTAAAGGCCGGACAAGATTTTGCTATTTTTAGCTCTGGCAGCCATTTTATGCAGTGAAACGGAACATGCCGGTGATGTACACAACCAGGGATGGTACTGATCACTCCTGTAAAGTTTGGTTGAAATCCAAACAGTAGTTTGACCTGCAAAGGCCAGACAAGATTATTCTTCTTTTTGTTTGATCTGGCGGCCATTTTGTGCAGCAAAGCGGAACATGCCAGTAATGTGCGCAGCTAAGGATGGTACTGATCACTCCTGTAAAGTGTGGTTGAAATCACACCAGTAATTTGACGTGTGAAGGTCGGGCAAGATTTTTCTATTTTTTGATCTGGCGGCCATTTCGTGCAGCGAAGCAGAACGTGCCGGTAATGTGCACAACAAAGGATGGTACTGATTACTACTGTAAAGTTTGGTTGAAATCCCACCAGTAGTTTGACCTGTGAAGGCCGAGCAAGATTTTTTCTATTTTTAGATCTGGTGGCCATTTTGTGCAGCGAAGCGTAACGTGCCGGTGATGTGCACAACTAGGGATGGTACTGATCACTCCTGTAAAGTTTGGTTGAAATCCAACTTGTAGTTTGACCTGTGAAGGCCGAACAAGATTTGTTTATTTTTGGCTCTAGCGGCCAATTTGTGTAGCGATGCGGAACGTGCCGGTGATGTGCACAACTAGGGGTAGTACTGATCACTCATGTAACTTTTGGTTGAAATCCAACCAGTAGTTTGACCTGTGAAGGGTGGACAAGCTTAATGCGGATGGACGGACAACCGGACGTCTGTTCTAACGGGACAGTTATTATGTGGCTACTCTATTGTTCTCTCTATTGTTCTTTTTAGCCACACAAAAGAAAATAGCCACATTAAGGCATTACGGAGAAAGAACAGTTA